TTCTTGTAGCTTCATAAAATTAAGGTTGAACCACTGATGTCACATGGGCTACTTTAATGATGTCCTCACTACCTTTCTGGGCCTTGAACATGGTAGTTGCGTTGCTGTCTATGCAGGGTCAGAAAGCTCTTTGATTTAATCAAAAATATCTTAATTCGTCTTCTGAAGATATATATATATATATATATAATTAGATTTTATTCCCCCAAATGGTGCAGCTCTACTTTTGGGGCTGTTCCAAGAAAAAAAACAAGACCAATCAAGACACTGATTTGAAAGTGTGTGTAGTGAATATTGTATGGTTTGGGACTAAACTGTAATACTGGTTTTATGTATGTATTCCAACTCAGACAGTGGAAGAATATTGCTGTTTATTGCTTGTTTTCTTTATGTGTGTGCATTTGGTATAGCAACTGTTCAGAGGGCACCTGTGATGGCTGCTCCTTCCATTTCCTGTGGCACTCCCAGTATGCCTGTCCTCTCTGCTCTGAGAGGAACTATAAGGAGATTGTGAGCGCTTGTATCCAAGGAATTCAGGTACATGTCAATTCACATCATGATAGACCAAACAGTTTGTGAATGAGACTATTTTCCCCGCTCTGAATGTTTTTATTTTATCATTTATTAGATGACTTAATGTAGCTAAAATGTTTTTTGTTTCTCAGAGGACTACCTATGTGTGGCAACAACCTCTGAGGTGCACAGGTGGGGTGTCACTGCCTCCTCAGAAGGTCAGTGCCTGTGTGACGCTGGACTTCTGGCTGAAGTTTGGTGTCTCCATCGGAACTGTGGCTGCTATATTGCTCATTACCATCAGCTGCTACTTCTGGAAAAGGACACGCAAGTGAGAGTTCATTACTGAAAGTGATACTTAAAAATGGGACCAAAAACTGGTTTACTTACTTTGTACTTTCTTTGATATCCAGTAATAAAATTGTTGAGGTGGAAAACAAAGCAGCATACAGGTGAAATTACCTAGGTTTAATTTGATCTAATGAAAATGTAAATAAAGATTGATGAATTATCGATGGAAAAGTATTTTTCCCACATTATTGTTAAATAAAATAAAATATATTCGATAGATGTTAATCGAGTAATGCCAACTTAAGGAAAAATATATTAGTTTGGTTATTTCAAACAAAAATACTTTTTAAAATATTTGTTTTTAACCCACTGCATCTGGAATTGCATTTTGGCCAAGACTTTATCATATATCTAGATTGATAGATTACATATTTTGATCTATTCATCTCCACTCGAAAGTATAGTGTAGTGCTCAGTCTCATAATTCCATGAATTTAAGTGTAAATTCATAGTAGATAACTGTACTGTACAACACTGACTTTGTGAGCGAATGAAATTAAGACAAAAGAACAACATACAACTTCATACTGCTACAAAGATGGGTGTGAATGTGTTCTTTTATCTCTATAAGCCTAATTGTAGATAAATTGGGGATAAATGAAGGCTGCTGTACGTATAACAGTATTCATACCCTCTCTTTAGGCTGCAGTATAAGTACTCAAAGCTAATGATGACTGCAGGAGATAAGGAGTGTGAACTTCCAGCTGCAGATAGCTGTGCCATCATGGAGGGAGAAGATGCAGAGGATGACCTCATCTACCTCTCCAAGAAATCTTTCTTCACTAAGATCAAGTCATTTTCCAGAGAGGTAAGGAGGTCAGAAGACAGACTTCAGTTTGGCCGTACTATAAACTCTAAAGCTATATTCTTGATGGATGCTATACATGTTTTTAATGTTACAGTATTATTAGCATTAACAGGCAGATACAGACATTTTCTTGACAAACTGCTGTTATTTTACAGAGAACGTCAGATGGCTTTGATTCTGAGGCTGCAGTATAAGTACTCAAAGCTAATGATGACTGCAGGAGATAAGGAGTGTGAACTTCCAGCTGCAGATAGCTGTGCCATCATGGAGGGAGAAGATGCAGAGGATGACCTCATCTACCTCTCCAAGAAATCTTTCTTCACTAAGATCAAGTCATTTTCCAGAGAGGTAAGGAGGTCAGAAGACAGACTTCAGTTTGGCCGTACTATAAACTCTAAAGCTATATTCTTGATGGATGCTATACATGTTTTTAATGTTACAGTATTATTAGCATTAACAGGCAGATACAGACATTTTCTTGACAAACTGCTGTTATTTTACAGAGAACGTCAGATGGCTTTGATTCTGTTCCTCTAAAATCATCAGCTGCACAGGAGATGGAGATGAACTAGAACTTCTGAGACACAGGGAGAGCCAGCAAGAAATGTTTGGCCTGTCACAAGCCATCCTTGAAGCTATATCTGACAATATAACATCAATACTTGTATTCCCAAAGAGACACGGAGCGAAGAAAAAAAATACTGAAAACATGTCTGCCTTATTCAAGTCACCTCATAAACCTGTGATTTCAGGACTGGCATAAGAAGATTTTTTAAAAACTTTTTTTTTTATGATGAGTTTTTTTAAAGATCTATATCATTGTGTAAATAGGCCTATAAAGATGTGTACCAAACCTGTATGCTTGTGAAAGATAATGCTGGAAAATTTACATTGCATTTGTTTGACAGGTCATCATGTGATATATCAAATATTTTCTTTTTCTTCTCTTCATTTGGGTGAGTGAGAGTTGAGAGCTACACCTGCCTTACAAGTGGTTACAATATGTTGCAGACAGTTTTCATTATTATTTTTTTTAATCATTCAAATGTTCTGGCATACTAGCATTTATGTTGTGTGGACCATTTTTGTTATGTTATTTGTATTTTAGGAAATGTCATCTTGTTTGTAATGGTTTTCTTAAAGAATATAGCCTACTTGATAAAGCTAATAATGTGTCCATTGTTATTAAATCTTGAGATTAACTATAATTACACCAAGCTACAGCAAGAAATAATATCGATAAGGACAAAAATTAAAAAGCAAATGTCTAGCTTTTATTTGCTATTTAAATAATTTATCTTATGTTGCGTCAGTTTGTTCAATGCAGTGGCTCAGACGGTGACCGTTTCCATAGTAACGAATGTAAACAGAATGAAACCATGAGCCCGTGCATCTCCAAAATCATCTGATAGTTAGTTGTCTGAAGCGCCGAAAGATGCCGAAAAAGAAAGGAAACAAGGGCAAGGGAAAAGGGTAAGGATGAAAGATGTAGTTTTAGATTTGATTTATACAGTAAGCCTTAGTACTTGCTTTCTATAATTGTCTTTACACTTCACGTCTTTACAGAAAAGGTAAGAAAGAAGGCAAGCATGAGTCTAAAGCCGACAAGGAGTCAGAGATCGAAAAGTTCAAATCAAACGCTGATTTATGGGAGGCGAAGTTTAATATCACGGAAATTTCGCGTGTCGAGTATCGCGAAGCTACTCGCGCGCTCGCCAAAGCCAACGAGGAGCTCGCGAACCAGCAATATAGAGCCGAGAAAGACACAAACGATATTATTGCTTTTCTGAAGAGAACAGACCGTGAAAAGACAGCAACGGTTAGTCTGCCTTTGTCATTTTATATCTCTATCATAAACATTTCAGTTTATTCACCTGTGCAGTTAATTTCCTACTAATTTGTCTCCTATAAGATTGCTGCATTAGAAGAGCAACTAAAAAGAGAAAAAGCGAAGGCTTTACAAGAGAAAGACCTTCTGGTAAGCACTGATTGAATTTGAGTTATTTTCCAAATGAATTAGCATTGTGTCAAGCTGTTACAACTGAATTTCAAGAAGTTTTTATCATGCAAGACTTGAATTTCACCCCTCATTCGTTTCAACTGACTGGCTGTTGCAGGTGGCTGAATACATGCAGAAGATTGATGCTTTAGAAGAGAGGTTTAAGCAGAGGTCAAACGACTTCCAGAGGATGCAGGGCGAGCTCAAAACCATTAAGCATTTTCGCAAAATAAAGGCCAATCTGGAAGAAAACCTGATCAGTGTACTGCACAGTCATTACTAATGATTATTTAATGTAATAAGCAATGTAGATGCATAAAAACTCCAGAAATGTAATATATAATGTATTTCTTGTGCTTCTAGATGAGAGAAAAAATGTATATTGCTGACCGTGGACACCAAGAGAGTCTGTCGACAAAGGAGTACAAGTTCTACACAGCACGAGTGAGAAAACCCAGATGCGAAATATATTATGCATCCATTTATAAGAAAGACATAATGCATAGAAAAATGTTTCAGAAAGTGCATTTACCATCATATTTAAAATAAATTTGTTACGGATTTTTAGATACTTTGTTTAGACCATATGTGCCACTAAAATACATGCTAGAACAGTCAACGATATCTTCTTCTATATAGATTCATCTTGAGAAGGAAGCAGAGCAAAAGATCACTCAGCTTGCAGAGCAAGCACATCATGAAGCTATTGCGTGAGCAGCTATTCTTTTAATTCTATTATTGAATCCATTACTCATCTCATTCCCATCATTATGGTTAATTACTGCATATATGACCTTTGTATGTGTATATATGACCTTTGTATGTCTATCATTTGTGTTTATTGGAGTCAAATCTTCAGTTTTTGCTCCCAACAGACAGCTCGGTACAGCGTCACATACTGTGTTCAAGGAGAATGTACGATTGAATGAGGCACTGAATTATTATGTGAAAGAGGCGGAGGAACTGAAGAGTACAAATATAACCTTGAAAGAGAAGAATGCTTCCCTTGCTCTCTTAAAGGTGCTACCACTAACAGACTCAGGAATTTTAAGAGACAGTTTCTCTGTAGAGTATTTAATTAAAGCGTAAGCTTAATGAAATCGAAGTACAATTTAACCTTGTAAAACCTGACATTTGAAAAAATTGTCTGGTAAATCTAATTTTTAGAAATGGAACAGTTTATTGAACAGTTTATTCACACTCGAGAAGGAAAAGAACACAGCAGTTTTATTAAGAGGCCCGAACTGCACAAAATATGCAAATGGGTGAAGATATTGTTATTTATATGGACAAAAAGTATGATTTTGAAATTCTAATAGCTTGTAATGTCAATCAATGAGATCTTTTTAACAATACACTATAGACTACTTACATAAAATGCATATAAATATCAGTTGTCACTCTGTATATCCAAATAATATTTCTTAGTAAAATTATTTTTAAATGCCTAGATTTTGTGGTTATTATTGTGGAGTGTGTACATTAATGAGGAAAAAAAATTAACTTAAATGATTTTAGCAAATGGCTGCAATATAACAAAGAGTGAAAAATTTAAGGGGGTCTGAATACTTTCCGTACCCACTGTATAATGAAATAGAATTATGACTGAAAGAAGCACAGATAAACATTCCCTAAAAACCTGATGTATCATATTTGATACTCACTTTTTAACTTAAATTTGTGCATCAAATATGATACAGTATGCTTTATGGAGTTAACTAAGCTGGCTTTCAGAGATGCTCATGTTTGCCATTGTGTTCAGCACATTGCATCTCTCCAGTGATGTAGACTGACTCAAACTGATTAATTCTGCAGGAGACGAATGAACTGATGAGAAAAGAAGGTGATTCCCAGATGAGGTCCCAACAAAATGAGATTTCCGAGCTGAGGGCTAAATTGGTCACACTTGAGCAAGCTCTGGGCATCATGTCTGGGGAGTTTGAGCAGGAGAGAGAAGAGGTGGAGCGGCGTGCCATGGTCAGTATGCAGGCCAACAGCGCAGACCTTGAGAGGTTGGAAATGCTTCTAGCTGCCCGCGAGAAGGAGCTGGGCCAAGTGAAACGGCTGGCTCAAAGCATCATCGAGCAGCGCAAAGAACTTGAACTCTTCTTTCATGAAGCACTTGACCATGTGAGGAAGGAAATAAGAACACAGCAACACCTCTACAGGTTTGTACAAGTTATGAAAACTGCTCTGTGAAATATCCTTTAATAGGGCATTTTGAAGATTCAGCTTCACATTTAGGAGTGCTTCACATATTTGAAGATGATCTTGTATGTAGACAGGAGGCTCTGAAGGCCTATCGCTGGAGAATGAACGAGGCTCGGGCTGGAAGGTTGGAGTATCCTCGTATACGGACCTTCTCTAATGCCCCGCACAGCACCAATGATGTTCAGACTGACCTGGAAGAAGCTGACAAATGGTGTGAGAGCTTTTAGTGCAGAATTACTAATTGCTCTTAATGTGCATCACTAATCAAGATGACTATGATGATAAAAATGGTCTGGTGTCATTTTAGGAGCAACTTGAAAAGCTCCAGTGTGGATATTTCTGATCTAACATGGGAGCAGAAAGAGAGACTACTCAATCTGCTTTTTGCTAAATTCAACGGGCAAAAAACAAGGTAAATAGATTTATAGTTGATTTTGTTTGCTTCCATTGTCCTCATTTGTAAGTCGCTTTGGATAAAAGCGTCTGCTAAATGACTAAATGTAAATAATTGTATTTATATATACACTAGTCAACATTTGAAGTGGATCAAAACCTTTCATAAAAGTGATCCTAAAACCAAAATGCGTTCTTGTCTTAGGACATCTTTGATTAACTTTTTTGATCCATTTCAAATGTTGACTACAGTATAAACACACACACACACACACACATTATCTACGTTCATTCAAATAAATAAGTTAATGCAAAATCTTTGTTGATTCGTTTTTTTTTTAAACAGATTGGAATTCAGTAGAATTCAGTATTTATTTTGAATGTTATGAAAGCAATGTCCATTGGAATGTGCGCTGGATCCGAATGAGTAAAAAAGGGATTTGAATATTGCATTGTTGTTCTGTATGGAAGACATTTGAAATGACAATACCAAGTAAAATAAAATAAAATTAAACAACAACAACAACAACACTGCAACATTTGTTTTTAGCACTGCCATGCGGTCACTCAAAGAATCCAGAATTCAGATTTAGATTGTCTTTTGCCAGGATTTCTTTGCATTTCACAAATTCCTTAAAGGGGTCATATGATGCGATTTCAAGTTTTCCTTTCTCTTTGGAGTGTTACAAGCTGATTGTGCATAGATAAGATCCCTGAAGTTGCAAAGACTAAAGTCTCAAAACCAAAGAGATATACTTTATCAAAGTTAAGACTCTGCCACGCCCCCCTAAAACGGCTCGTTCTAACACGCCCCACATATCTACCTCACTATGTGGAAATATTAGCATAATGCAGCCCAAATGTGCACGCAAAGAAAGGCGTGGTTTCAGTAACCGCAGTTAGTGCTGAAGCAGCCATGTCAGGGAGACGCTATGTGTTTCTAGGCGAAAGCAAAAGCACTTTATTTGGCCTTCCGAAAGTAGATGCATTTAGGAATCTTTAAGATTACTTACAACAGAACAGCAATGCATTTTATGGACGACCGTTTCACGAACCTAGGAGAGGAGGTAATTCTGACTTTGCTATGACAATCTGGCGCTTCTGAATCAGCTACTGTTTTGTTATTAGTTTAAGTATTTGCGATTGACTGTTCAAATGCGGAGTTTTGCGCATCGTGTGTGTGTGAGAGAGAGAGA